TGACTTTGGGTGGTGAACACACAATGCAATACATACAGATGATGTGTTATAGAAATTGTACACCTGAAACCTATGTAATTGTATTAACCAATGTCACACCAATGAATTCAATAACGATTAAAATCAAGTGGAATTTCTGGCATTTCATTGATATCACATTTGACCAGGTCTGGGAAAGAAAGAATAAGAAACTGCTTGAGGATAGAAAATGTGATTGAAACATGACCACTCTTCCTTCGGTGTCAAAGGGTGGAAAAGGGAAGAGTAAACATGCATGATAAATGCTTAGTTTTAAAAGAAGCAAGGAAATGTCCAGGTTTCCAACAAAGTCGTAGTCTTCTATCATCTCCAAGCACAATTTGGACAAAACCACAGCTCGTCCTGTCCTTCATTCTTAAATAGAATCTTTTGTCTTCACATCTTAAATCTCTTCAAGCCTCTCCTTTCCCTTCCTTTCGATTAACCAACTACTGTGGGAGTTACATGGAAAGCACATCTGTATGTCTCCTCCTCTCAAAAATTTGTCTTTAGTACGTGTTTACTACACATCTGCTTCTGCTGCATTGGACAAAACCCTTTGAACGTTTTCCATTTCCTCACCAACCACCTCCCTAATCTTCCAAGTCCTCTTCTCTCCCCCCGCCCCCCACTACTGTCCAACTACATTCTAGACTCTTTCTACATTACTTTATTGAAATGGTGCTAAGAACACCAGCCAGCACCTTTTAGACAAATCACACAGTATAAACTCTGCTCCTTCTCAAAACACTCTCCCTTGACATTTTCCTTTTGCTTATCCTTTCCACTTTATTTGTTGCCACCCCCTTACTTTTTTTCCCTTTCTCTAATTTAGTTTTTACTCTCTGCTTGTTTAACAGCTGATTCATAAACTTAATCCTCAGCTATGACTTCAGTGGAGTCCAAACTGTGTGTTTTTCCCCTTGTTGTTTTGCTTATGTTTTTGCCTTCATCTCTCCCAATAAATAACAATGTAGGAGCTCTTTCATACGCTAAATTTAATATGTGTAAAACTGACATGATGTGCAAAACTGGTTTCCCTTTCTCATTCTTGTAGTTCCCACAGATGAATTCAGCATACAGTATTCTATAGACAACAAGGATGGCCACTCATCTCTCACCACTTGGTTGGCAAAATGACATGGAAAACTAGGTATCCTTTAGAGAGAGCATAGCCCTAGGTGAATCAGCACATTATTGCCCCAAAGGTGTAGCATTTTTAAACTCATGCCCATGCAAAGCCCATAAAAGAACACTGCAAGAAGTCAACATAGAAATTGTGTAATTAAAAAAAATCTTCGATCCTACCATAGCCATGTTAAATTTAGAGCTAAAAACGAATCGCTCCAATTAGCTGTGAAATGAAAAAAATTCCCCAGCCTAGCCTGAGGGCATGTTGGAAGAGACAAAAGTAGCTTTTGGTCTTCTTAACTCACGCCAGCCCTTCCTCACCAAGGTGCTTTTGCTTTTGAAAATTTTTTTCAACTCCAGGATGATTACTCTAATGACCTTTAAGTATTTCTGTGAGTGACCCTGATAATGATAATTTGAAATTTATTTCTGAATATTCAATGGAGAGCCTATTTTTGTTCAATTGTTTTCAGATGTTCTCACTATGATGATATATGCTTTATGACACATGACATATGTTGACAGATATAAGCATAGATTCATAGGCCTCAATTAAATATACTGTTCGGGGTGTAAGTTTTGCTTAATTAAAATTTGATATTAATTGAGGTTACTCTGCAACAAATTTGTGTTAAATTGTATAATTGAGAACTATATGAAAACTAATATTTGTCCCCCTTTTTGCCTTAGCAAATGTAGTTACTATTATTGATGCCTGAAAATCTTACAGTGCTTTAGAGAGATCATGAAAAGGTTTGTAATTTATACTGCAGAAAGAAATGAGATTGGTTTAAATGTATACTGATTCTAAACTTATTCAGGGTTGCTTTAATTTGCGATTTTCTCTTCATGCTTGAGACAGCTAATTGATTTCAGGTTAATCAATAATTTTCTGAACACAGAAGTATATATATATATATTCTTATAACATTTTATATTATTAAACAATCATAGTTTCAATGAGAATCATATAATTCTCATTAAAATTTAATTACTCTGTCCATTATCCCACAAATGTTTTTTTCTTTATTTTATAAAACAAAATTCTTTTCCAAATTTGAATACTTAAATTCACAGATATTCTTCTCATGTTCACACAACCATCAGGATTCCATTATGAAAAAAATTGGTGGAGTCAGAGGGGTATGCAGATAAGAGTTGTCTTGTTATTTTTTGTTTCTCTTAATTTATCTTATCCAAGATTTTAAGAGCTTTTTCATTCCCTTCCCTTTTTGTAAAATTTCAGAACATTTCTCATTGCAAAATATCATTACAGTGATCTGACCTTTTGATAAACCATGTAATGTAACATTACTTACTTTACATAATTTGTGTAATTTATGCCTGTCTAGCATATCATATCTCTAACCTTACCACTAATCCAGGGACATTTTCTATCAGGTTGAGTCAACTTTAAAAGGGTGTAAATTTTAACAGCACAGAAAAATGTTATTTTGCTCTCAAGGTGTTTTAGTTAATAAATTGGAGAAATATATATGTAATATAGTACTTTTATTATTACTTGGCTCTTCTCAATGAGATTAGAACTTTGAAAATAAATATTTGTTGTTTGATTTTTCTGTTTATATTTATCAGAAAAACATACATGTAAAAATGATGACACAGTTGATTAACTTTTAATGGAATATAATATTTTGAGTAACAATAATGGGATTCCAGCATGGCTGCAAATATGGATAATACAGTCTTTATGACATGATTATCATGTTGAGCTAGGGCAAAAACAATTTCAACTAATTTGTTGTCTATTAGAATGAGCATTTTACTTTGAAACTTTTAAATTATATTACTGTTTGGATACTTGAAAAATTATTATTAAAATATTAAAGTATTTTTGTATTTACTGAGGGCTAAGAAGCAAAAGAAGACCACTTCATCTCCTTTTACCATTTTTTTCTGTCACTTATTTCTAGATCTCCTAGGAAAAAAGGATCTATGCATGTCTGGCAAAATTTTAGGGACAGAAATGGTCTGGCTAATGATGATCTGGCTAATGTCACTCTCTCTCTCCAATAGGATATTTCGGGTTCCTGGATACTGGAGGCCATATTTTATGTATTATTATAGTTAAATTATATATAATTTTGAGACAGATTTTTGTGTCAGCAGCACTGTCAGAACTTACAAGTGAAAGATGAGAAATAAGAGAAAATAAATAAGACAAATAATAATGTCATTAAATGAGATGGGAAATATAAGGAGGTGCATATTGTTCTAGTAAAATTTTATTTCCAAATTTCTAAAAAACACTAGAAAACATTTCAAAAGTTTACCAACATATTTTATCATATTTCTTTAAAATATTTACAAATTAGACAAAATAGATATTTCATGTTATTCTATGTTTTCAAGCTATTCAATTCTCTCTCTCTCTCTCTCTCACACACACACACACACACACACACACACACACACGCGCGCACATACAAATAATTTATTCTCAAGGACAACCCACTGTTGGCCAGGTTAATATCACAATCCTGACTGTTATAATAGTTTGCAATCCCAGAAATGAATATAGTTGGATGTTTGGTGTGGGAAGAGAGTATAATCAAAATCATAAAGTAGAAGTCATAGAAAAAACAAGATGGAGAACAGAGGGGTTTACCAATTCTACTCCTAGTTAGGAATCACTAAACAAAAATACCAAAGGGTTCTCTATATAAATCATTAGATTAACATACATGTAAAAATGGGATTCCAGCATGGCTTCGAATATGGATAATACAGTCTTTATGACATGATTATCACAGAGGCTTTCTTCGATGTCAGTGTAAAGGTTGAGAGTGACATGTTCTACTTGGTAAGGTGTTTTTTTCCACAATGAGTGAAGCAGAGATTCTCAGCAAATTTGGCCAGCATTTTAGCATACTGAGTACAGTGCATGCTAAGTGGTAAATAATCTGCTATGTAAATAGTTGGGGCTTTTCAATGAAACAAATAACTCCTTTTTAAAATAGCCTACAGAAATTGAAGCTGCTCACTCTGAAATTCTTTAATAAGTTGTTTGGAGAGTTTTCATGTTTCATATCTTTGAAGATACATAGTCACCTCCTAATAAAAGAAACTACAAATGTTTTTTTCAGTCATCTAATGCAACTCAACTTTTGTTTGCATTATTTAAATAATTTTCAGCATTATTTCATGGGTCTGCCTGTAACATACTGTCTGTTGGATACTAATTAGTTGATACATGAGGGTGATTGTTATATATAATATAATAAACATGACCAACTCACTTATTTTGGTATAAACCTTTTTCTGTACTTTAGAGAATATTGTTGGTTAAAGCCAAAGTATAAGTAAAGCTATCTATATGCAAATGCAGATGGCTTCACTCTGAAGCAAAAAAGTTAGAAAAGTACAAAATGTGTTCACTTTATAAAAAAGCTTAAAACTTGTTTTAGTTTTCTATTTCTTATATTATGAAAACTGTTTACTTTATAAATGTTACCTAATTAGTAGATCACAAACAAACTTTGCCGTAATGGTTTGCAAATTAAAGAAACATGTATTCTTCATTTCTTTCTCAAAACAACAATTTGAAGCTCTCTATCCTCTAACAGGGGGGAGATTTAGTGGAATCTCCACGTAAATAAAGTGTGTACAAGAATTTTTAGAAAAACTATGATAGTTGTATATTGGTAAATAATGAAAAATCTATTCTCTTTGCCATTTTTACTACTTATATAACATGCTGACCTATTTGCTAAATTTAGTATTGATTGTTTCTTATCCTTTGATAAGTGTATTTAAATTTATTTAATTTGTTATGTAAATTATTTGGACCTTTAACTAATTTTCTTTTTCTTTTTCTTTTCTCTCCCCAGAAAGGACGGTATTATGAACCCAATCTAAACTTCCTTTCCTCAGTTTTAAACTTTGGTTGCTTAACACTGAAGCAATCATGGTGAACTTTAGGAAAGCGGTGCACTCGTTCCTGTAAGTATGCTATTACTTATTTTTTTTTCAAAAGATAACTTTTTTATGGTAGCTGGATTAAAAATGTTAAACAGGCTTTTATATGATCATTCAGCCATATTTATCTCAATCTTCATAAATGACTTTGTTTCAATAGATTAATTGTATATGTGTTTCCTATTCAAAAGCAATAAATGGAGAAAAACCCTGTAATTTGAACTCCAGTTAAACACAACCACTCATGCATTCAAACAATATGGTAATTATACCTTAGATTCAAAAACAATCCCAATGCCCACGATTGCCTTCTCCATGGTTAAAACATAGAAGTGAGAAGATACTTTCCTTCTCCTTCCATCATGAACTGAACCAAGAAAATAAAGTGTCTTTATAAGTCTCTGATTTTATAAAAAATATTTGAGGTTGCAAAAGAATGCATCAGAAGTCAGGGAGTTGGGGTTGGGCGGTGTAGCTAGACAGAGGAAAACAATTCAATGTTTGGAAGTCTTGATGCAATGACCCAGTAGTTAAAACTAATACAATGTAACATAAAGGATATAAGTAAAGAGTTGAATTCAAATACTGGACAATTCTAAACATGATGTAACCCAGTCATATCTTCTTTTTAACTTAACGAAATGTAAGGTTTGTTTCTTCTAAACCTACTCTTTGAGGAATGGGGCATTGAAAAAAAAAAGATCCAGGTCTCTGTAAACTGACTGGTACAGTGGAGAAGCCTTCAATCGCCTTGCTTTACACAGTCTCCTTTATAATTCCTGTAAAAGCTCACTCAGGAACAAAGTTTACAGAGCAGTGTAGGTATAAAGAACATCATCTCCAGTATGCACCATCATAGCCCATCTTGGATGTCACTGCTTATTGTAGTAATGATAGTCTCAAGGATGTGTGGCTCCAAGAGAACTAGAGCAGATGGGGAAAGGAAGGGGTAGACAGTGATAGCAGTCAGATCAGACAGATCAGCAGAGTCAGGTGTAAGAAAATGAAAGGACAAATGCTTCATGCACCTGTGTCAACTCTAGTTGGGCATTGGTCTATATAGCAGAATGTAGGGTTACTTTAAAGTGTACCCAATTATTCTGGCATGAAATTATGAAATTCATATCACCTTTTTCCATCCTATTAAGAGAAACAGAGAGCATTCATCTCTTCTAATAATGCTCATTGTCATATGCCATGGAAAAACTCAGTAGGTTTAAAATATACTCAGACTTTTAAGTTAAATTATCATTTTGTTTAGCTACTATGCATGTAAAATTATATTTCATTAAAAATTTAGTAGCAATGAATAAATTATTTGCACGGTTCCAAAGAACTTGTGATTTTTGAGCATATATTTTAGGAGACGTCTGTGGCTTAATGGCAATTCATATAGCTTTAGAAGCAAGACCTAAATTACTCCTCTTTTGTAAAAAGACTGTATATATTTCACTGAGGATGCAAATATTTGAAGTTAGATTTAATTATAATACAGCCAAGTTTTATTACAAAACTATAGAAAATAGCATTGGACTACAATAAAACTCATAATACTTTTCCCATAAATAGTACTCAGTAATAATTTATTAAATTGAATTGAAACCAGGGAACTAAAGTAAATACTCTTTCAGGATCTTTCCCAGCACCATTACTTTATTTTATAATTCACAATAGATTTCTTTCTTTATTTTAACAATAGATAATATTTATATTCTACAAGCTTCCTTAGTAATTTAGTATTTTTTAAAATATATTTTATTGGTTTCAGAAACGAAGGGGGAGGGAGAGATAGAAACATCAATGGTGAGAGAGAATCATTGATTGGCTGCCTCCTGCATGCCTCACGGCACGCCCCACACTGGGAATTGAGCCCGCAACCTGGGCATGTGCCCTGACCAGGAACCAAACCATGACTTACTGGTTCATAGGTCGGTGCTCAACCACTGAGCCACTCCTGCCGGGAATTAACTCAATATTTGTTTCATGGACTTTTTAATAAAATTTATGTACATCTGACCAATAGAGTTATACTTGAAGTGGTTTTCTACCCCAAAGTTCTAAGATACTCAAATTATAAAATTCATAATTGAACATAGTTTTTTATGTTGTGTGCATTTTTGTTATGTGCTACTTTATTCTGCATTCCTCCACGGTTTTTAGAGAAATATGGAAAGGATTTAGATGTTTTCACAACTTCCTTCAAAAGTGTGAGGTGGGACTGCATATTCTGGTAGGACTTTATTCTCTAGGCGTAGGGATAAATATATTATCTGTGGTTCCGCAACTGACAATTGAAGATGCAGTTGATTATTATGAACATAAAGTCTTGTAGGACTATTTGTCATGATCCCCACATAATTTAAAGCAGAAAAAAAAATTGATACCAGAGGGACAAGTTTTTTATTAGATAGGCCAGAAAAGACCCTGGATTTAAAATTACTATCTGAACCTAGTTCTGCATAAATAAGTGTTATTTTACAATAAAATCAGGACTTAAATTCTTGAAAAATTTTAAAATATGTGAATTGGGGTATAGTTACCATAAAATGCTTCTGTTTAACTTTGAAGGCAGGAAGGGTAGCTCCAACATCTACTGAGGGCTTATTATCACAGAGGTACCATTTTCAGGGCTTTGCACATATCATTTAATTTTCACAATAATCAGGTTATAGAGATCATCCTCTTGGACAGATGAGGAAATTTATGTTGTAAGAGGTTAAGTGACTGGTCAAAAATTATTGAGATCATGTAGCCAGGGCATTGGCCTCGTGCCATATGCAACAAATACAGTGACAGTGTAATCAACACTAAGAACAAATAACTTGCTTTTATTTATTTGGTCCTTTATTTCAATAAATTTTATTCATATTAATCAGATTAATTATGGTCCAGATTATTTGAATCACATATTATTTTAGCTTCTTTTTTATATTCCAGAAAAGTAATATGGCCTACATTTGAATTTACTGATTATTTCTCAATATTTGATAAAAATTACTATGTGTGTCTCTTCCCGTCATGTTGCTTAGAATATGTTACCTTTGACTAATGAGAAGCTTGTTTTTTAAGCTAGATGTCTGAAGTATTAGTTTTCTATCCTTTGTAAAATGATAGTCAAAAAATTTTGATTCCTTCATTATCTTAAAATACATAGTATATTAACAAGATATTAGAGAAATGATTTTTATTTTTTAAAATACATTTTATTGATTTTTTACAGAGAGGAATAGAGAGTTTGAGACATCGATGAGAGAGAAACATCAATCAGCTGCCTCCTGCACACCTCCTACTGGGGATGTGCCCGTAACCAAGGTACATGCCCTTGACTGGAATCGAACCTGGGACCTTTCAGTCCGCAGGCCAATGCTCTACCCACTGAGCCAAACTGGTTAGGGCAGAGAGAAATAATTTTTAAATGTGCTATAAAATGATTATAATATTTTACTTACATTTAAATAATGCCAATAAGTTTTCAGACTGCTACAGTTTTGGTTCGCAAAGTATGATGTGCATGTATGTGTGTATGAATAATCATATAGATATGATTATTATAATCATAAAATAATAGCAAACACTATACATAGTCTAATTGCTGCTTAATATTCATTAAATATCTGTTACTGAACATAAAACATATGTAAGACAGTCATGAACAGATAACTCTTGATTTTAAGCAGCAAAATTTTAATATGCTTGTTTGCCTTATCTATTTTATTAAAATAAATGTTTTATTAGACACATTATGAACTTACACTTTGAGAGGACACTTAATGAATGTAATTTGAATAAATCATTACAGCAAATGAAGCAATACCATGCTTTCAGATTACTTGCATAGAGTAAAAATTTAAAACACAGGCTTTGAAATGAGTGAAACCTGAGTATGGACCCTTTCCCTGCCACTTACTGGCTATATTGCCTTGATGAAGTTACTTAATCTCTCTGAACCTCAGTCTCCTCATCTACATAATGGATATAAATTAGTACTGACTTCATGAGGTTGTTTTATGAGGTCAAATGAAATTATAGATATACTAGAGGCCCGATGCATGAAATTTGTGCAAGGGGCTCGGCCCTTGCAGCCCCGGCTTCATCTGGAAGGTCATCCGGATGGTTGTTTGGTCTAATTAGCATATTAGCTCTTTTATTTTATAGAATACTTCAGTAAGCTAAGTGCCTAACACATAATAAACACTAAATAAAGAGTATTCTTTGGATAGAAAATATACTGAGGTTTAATTAAAAGAGTAGATATGATAATGATGATGATGATTACTGTTGAAGGAAAAGCAATTGTTATGTATAAGCCATTTGTTGTGTTTAAGCAAAATAGGGTGGGGCAAAAGTAAGTTTACAGTTGTTCATATGGAAAATAATTCAATAATTAATAAATAATAATGCAAGAATAAACTCTGTGCTTTGCATATTCACAACTATAAACCAACTTTTGACCCACCCACCTTTATAATAAGTATCTGATTTTTTTCTTTCTTAATTTTCAGTGTGCACCTAATCGGCCTATTGGTTTGGCAATGCGATATTTCTGTGAGCCCAGTTGCAGCCATAGTAACTGACATTTTTAATGCCTCCGATGATGGACGCGTCGGAGTTCCAGGCGGGGTACAAAACTGGCCAGCACTTGCAATCGTCATAATAATAATATTGACGATAGGTGGCAACATTCTCGTCATCATGGCAGTACGCTTTGAAAAGAAACTGCACAATGCCACCAATTACTTCTTAATGTCCCTAGCCATTGCTGATATGCTAGTGGGACTACTTGTCATGCCAACTTCTCTGCTGGCAATCCTTTATGGTAAGTACAATTTTATTAGTTTTTCAGTCTCAAATTATGTCATGAATTTGTGTGAGGTATCACAATAAACATTCACAAAGTTAATTATTTTGCTCGTATCATTTGAAAAGTGAAGAAAAAACAAATTGTGTGGCAGATGGAATTGGATGTGTATGTAATATTTATTAAATAAATCAGTAACAGTCTTCAAAAATCAAAACAGACATTTCATAACATATTAAGATGATAGATAGATACTCTATTGTTCAGTGTTATCTACAATGACAGTGGCCTTATAATGGGACAGAGTCAGAAACACACCATCACCCCTATAATCTGTTTTATATACATAGTACCATCTTTTATACAAAGAAAGTGAAAGAGGCTCCCGTAAAAAATAAACATATTTTAAGTAACCTTTTTTTAATGTTGGCAAACAAAGTGATTGGCACATACTAAGCTCTCAATAATAGCTATCCTTCATGGAGTCTACAGTTTATGTTTTTATGAAGAGACAGGGGATAAATCATTAATTAGTAATGTATAAATGCAAGGTCACATTACCACAATAAAATTTAGACAATGAAATTTTTTGTATATTTATTTATTGGTATGTAGGAGATATTTTTATTTCTTTATTTTAATTTTATTTTTCCACCACAATTTATCCCCCTCTACTGTCCTATTCTCCCTCATCCCTCCCTCTCCTCACAGTAACCACACTGTTGTTCATGTCCATGAATTCTTTCTCTCTCTTTTTTTCTCTTTTTCCCCCTCAATCACTCCACACACCCCGAGCTTTGATAAATTTGTTTTAGGGAGGTTTTTAATTTTTATTTTCTGCCATCTCTATGCCTTATTTATTTTAATCATAATTTTGCATCTAGCTAATATTTATAATGATCAACCAAAATCACTTCTACAAAACTACAAAGAATCTGTGCTAAGTGAAATAAGCCAGTCAGAGAAATATAAATATCACATGATCTCACTCACTTATGGAATATAATGAACAACATAAATTGATGATCCAGAGACAGAGAATCATTGATCAGAATGTCAAACCTCAGAGGGAAAGTAGGAGAAGGTGGTAAGGGGGAGAGACCAACCAAAGGACTTGTATGCATGCATATAAGTCTAACCAATGGACACAGACAACAGGGGGGTGAGGGCATGAGTGGGAGGGGTAATGGAGGGATAAAGACACATATGTAATACCTTAATCAGTAAAGAAAAAGAAATTAAGAGTAAAAAAAAAAGAGCATCTGTACTAGGAAACTGGAGAACCCAGTTTGGATTTAATTGCTGATATGCTCATCTCACAAAAGAATGAACTAGACTCCTAGTCCCTGAAGTGTATAATGGAATTGGACTAGAAGGAATGATACTGAAAGTGTACCTTAAGTTCTCAAGTCCTAAAATATAATCTCTCATGAAACATAAAAATTATTTACTCTGTCCTAAATACACAGTGATAATAGATTATATTAATGGACATTTTATAAATAGTATTCTCTGAAAATATGCTTTTCTTATCTTTATTGTTTTAATGGTACATTAACCTCAAAGCCTAAGTATTTTACCAGCTCAGTAGCATTTTTCCACTCGGTTCCAAAATTATGTAAGAAAAGGTTATTAGAATTAATGTGCAACAGAAAGTATACTTTGTCTTTTACTATCTGCTACATTTTGCCAGTTTGTCCCTTAAGAATATATGGGTGATAAAAAAATGCATTATCCTAAATCCAAATCTTATAACACATCCATACCCCCACCCAACAGGAAAGAACAAGAACAATAGCACCACTAAATTTAGAGAAAAAACAAATTCCAAGTGATTTGTAAGCAGAAAAATAAATAGGAGATCACAATGAACTGTCAGGCTCCCGCCACATGCTGGTGTGTAGAGGAAGGGCAGTCCGGGAAGTGCTGCATGAGAGAGAGAGGAGGAAAGTTAGCAGGAAGCTTAAGATTGATGCAAAATCATGCAGAAAAGAAAGTTTACCCTCTGGGAGCTAAAAATAAAATACTTTTCCTCCAACTTTCTAAATTCTTCTAGCTGGGCTAATAATCAAATTAACAATGACAGATAAGCAGGAGAAAATAAAAATTGTAGTATGTGCACAGAGAGAATTCACATAACCATGGAAATTCCAAAGACAGGGAGGCAAAATTGGATATATATGCATTTGGGCAAAGGAGAAAAGGAGGGCAATGAGATCTTAGATTTCAAAAATGAGAATGGGCAATTTGCAGGTAGTTAAGGAAGAGCAGAACACACATGGCAGGCAAAATCTTGCTTCAGTGGGACACAGCGGGTGATCTAGCTACCAGGTCCCTACTTGGACCCCTTCCATCTGCCATACTAAATTCAGTTAGGCTAAGGCAAACATCCTAAGATTTCCTTCCTAAAGCAGGCCTTTGCACTGAATATCTTAGGCAAGAAAGCAGGGGATGGGGGTAAGGGGGTAAGGTGGCAAAGGTTCTTCCTGAGTCATTTATTTCTTAATAACCCAAAGGCACAGTTTGGGGAGTGGCAAAACCTTTGTTTCCTTCAACCTCAAGTATGAAAATTCTCAAGTTTTTCTGGAAGCTCAGCCTTTAGGGAAGTGACTTACAAGTGTGCATTAAGACACAAGAAAGCAGTTTTGGAAAAAGAACTCGGAAATTTAAAAGGGTATTAAAGGAAAGGGAGAGTTGAATACTTTTCTAAAATGCACAATGAAGGGAAAAAGAAGCAAGAGGGAAAATTTGTCACCCTACATGACCAAGGATGTTAGCTTATAAGGACCAATCAACATCCCCCCCTTTCCAGCCCCCACTGTATCCCAAAAGTCCTCCAGTAAAGAACCATACTTGTCATACTTGTCATATGGAAAGAAGAGGGTGCTCTTGAGCTTAGAAACCAGCCACAAACTGCCAGCCATGTTCATACAATTCAAAGATGCAACCAAACTTAATCTATACCAAGCAACTACAATAAATTTAAATTAAAAGATAAACAATTTTAAAAAAATGACAGAGTAGGTGCTCAATAAATATATGCTGAATAAATAAAATTCATCAAAATAAGAAAGCAGAACATAAGAATTTCAAAAAGGCATTTGATAAAAATTTTCACTAATGAAAAATAACCAAGGAAAAGAAAATGATTAAAAAATACTTCAAAATTACATTTCCTCAAACAGGCATTTGAAGGTATGAAAAAAAAAATACCTTGAGGTAGAAATCTAAAAACTAAGAATGAAACAGACAAAAAAATTGGTCAAGCAAAAGTTGAACCCAAGACAATAAAATAAAAGAAAAAGAATAAAATCACATCAGAAATGATCATTAAAGTACCTGAAGAACAATAAATTCATATCAAAACTGAATAAGAAGCATTGAAGCAAAATGAAACAATAGAGAATGAAGGTGAGATAAAGAAAAAGTAAAAGGGGTCAGAATGAAAGTGTTTGAGAAGAAAGACCAGAAAAAAGAAATCCACTCTGCATATAATGAGAATTCTTAAAAAGGAAAAAAAAATAATGGAACAAATTAATATTTAAAACTATAATTTAAGAAAGATTTTCAGAAATAAAAGAAAGTCTGAATCTATATATTGATAGGGCCAATCCAGTACCATCAATTTGACCTGGAACAGTCAACTCTGAGATATATTTAGACATTAGATTTTAAATATAAAGGAAAAATCCTCAGGGATTTCAGGCAAAAATAAGGAATAGTTTAGAAGAACAATAGAATTATACTAGCTTCACAGTGGGGAAAAAATGAAGCAAAGCAACAACAAAGAAATATTTTTTTAAAAGGTAGAATTGTTTTTGAAAGATATTAAAAACAAACAAATGTATAAAGACAGAAAACAGACCATTAGTTTCTAGAGGCTAAAGGCTGACTCCAAAGGAGCATTTACTTTGGTAATATGGAACTCTTCTATATCTTGATTGTGATGCTGGTATATATATATTTTTTTTTTCTCAAAATGTGAACAACCATAAATTCTATTATGCAGATTTTTAAAAGAGTGAATTTTACTGTAGTTAAACTTAAAATATAGAAAAAATTCTCAAAGTTTGAAACAAACATTTTACATCCAAACAAGTTTGCCATCAAGATTAAAAACTTTATTTTTTTCCTTTTTTTCTTTTAAAACTTTAATTTTTTTAAACTTAGAGGATTCTGAAGCCATAAGCTCTTCTTAAAAAATTGAATAGTGAATGGATTCATCCAAAAGAGAGATGATTGGGGAAACTTCAAAAAGGTTGATGATGAATATTTAATATATTTACTTTTAGAGCTAAGACAAAAACAAAAGTGTTATAAAGGCAGAATACCACTGTTATATAATATATATTATTTGTTACATACTCTATAAAATTAGAAACAATGTAATTAAAAATTGGGAGAAGAGAAAAGGAAAGAGGAAAAAGTAAGTATAATAATCAAAAGGTGGGAGTTAAATAATATCAAAAAAACTGACAAACCACAAAGTAATCTATATCAATATCTATCTATCATCTATATATCTATATCTATATATCTATATATATCTATATATCTATATCTATATCTGTATATCTCTATCTCTATATCTATCTATCTAGCTAGCTAATATGCAGTGTCCCCTCAGGAGTTTGACCAGGAGACTGGGAGTTTGATCTCTCGCTATGACGTGCACTGACCACCAGGGGATGGCACAGAACAAAGGAAGGCCACATCCAGCAGCCAGCAGCTGGGGAAGGAAGGCCCTGGTTGGCAGCCAGAAGGCCCCAATCAGCCCTGATCACCAAACAGGGCTAGGAACCCTACCTGTACATGATTTTCATGCACTGGGCCTCTAGTAGATTTATTAAGAAAAAAAGGGTCTAAGAATATTAAACATGATATAGATAAAATTTAGAGATGGAAAAAGATATAGGGGGGATAAATGGTGATGAAAAAAAATTAAAAAAAGAGAAAATGAAATAAATTAAATAAAATATGAAATTAAGTTAACCACTATAGCAAAATTACAAATCTTC